CATCCATCCATCCATCCATCCATCCATCCATCCATCCATCCATCCATCCATCCATCCATCCATCCATCCATCCATCCATCCATCCATCCATCCATCCATCCATCCATCCATCCATCCATCCATCCATCCATCCATCCATTCATTCATTCATTCATTCATTCATTCATTGTAGCCTCTTTATGAGTGCCTACCTAAAAGCTAAGATGAATTTGTCACGAAAGACCACTCCTCGAGTAAACATGTTTTAAGAATTCCCCGGGGTGCGAGAGATCCTGGCCGTGTGCTTCATATTAGCCAGTGAACAGGCTGTCTGTTTGGGGAAAGGGTGGAAAAAATTGTGCATTCCGTCGTCGTCGGCACGGCCTTCCTCGTTTTCAGGAAATGCAAACATTGGTCATGTTGGCCAAAAATAATAATAATCATCATCATTATTAGTCTCCCTCGCAGTCATTTTTTGGGATGTCACGCAACGTGGGGAATGTTGCGTGACATCCCAACAAACGAGTGAGAACAATGATCAAGACTGAATGATGATGATGATGATGACCATGACTACAAAAGGTTAGATGATGAGATCATCATTGTTTAGTGTATCCAAACCATTCCTGTGAGATTTAAACGCTTTTCTTATTTCTTTCACAATAAACTAACATAGGGGTCATGAACTTCAGAACGGTTCTAACTAGGTAGAGAGCTGTATCCCTGAATTAGCTGGATACGCAGTCATTCCTATACTATGTCTTTCTATCTCTAGTGGCTTTTAGAATTGGAAGTAAACATACTATGTGCGAGCTAGTGTGCATCGAATTGGATTTGCGTGATGGTCGAAGTGGATATGCCAGGACTCTGCGGGGCGCGCAGCCATTTTCTTTCCGGGTCACGCAACGCCCTTCCTAGAAAATCCCATTTTTAGGACTTTAATACATGGGTGAAAAACATTTTATCGCCGAAAATTTCTACCAGCAGAACGAGCCAGATAAAGTTAAAAGGACATAGGAGTTTGATTCCTCCTCAATCGGCATTACGGTATAGTGACCAGTGACGCAGGCGGCGACACATTTCGAGCGCTTTACATGACCTGCTTTGACAGGACGCACGATCGTTCGCCATTAATATTCAGGAATTGGAATTTTCTCCATAACTTGCAATTGTTTGCGGTAATCATGCCTCTGTTTGATTTGACAACAAACGTAAAAGAAGTTCCTGAAAATTTCCACAAGGAGACTACAGAATTAGTCGCACAACTTTTGGGAAAACCGAGCACGGTAAGAATATTCACATTAACATGACTAGCGGCGGACAACGTTTTGAATGGCGAGATCAACCCAATTTTTTTTCCACGAATAATAAGCTTTATAGGTGTCTCTCGATTACAGTCAATTCCCGTTATAGCCGACACCCTCGGGACCGCGATTTGGTGTCCGTAAAAGCGAGAGTCCGTAATAGCGGGGTGCGAGAAAATTTTTATTTTAAACCATATTTACGGAAGGGGGTCATATGTGTGTTCATTTTCATTAACTCTAGTACCTTTTTCAGACCGTTATCGCAAGTAAAGAGCGTCAGAACTTTATTTACAAACAGAACAGAACTTAACAGAACAGGAGTTACGTACCCTTTGTGTACAGTAGCTCTTCTAAGTACGTAAAAACAATCATCGTATGTTGCAGCAATGTCCACACATGCATCGTTTTGGTTTCCTACTGTACTGAAGTACAGTAATCTACACTTCTAAAAAAAATTATTTTCAAGGAAAAACCTGAACATCAGCTATTGATTGCATCAGCTATCACATTGCCTTAAAATATCGTTACAATCAGCTCTGTGTACTTCTCCTTTGAATTGCAACTTCCCCACTTTGTCGCCAAGGAGACTAAATTCGTNGGGTGCGAGAAAATTTTTATTTTAAACCATATTTACGGAAGGGGGTCATATGTGTGTTCATTTTCATTAACTCTAGTACCTTTTTCAGACCGTTATCGCAAGTAAAGAGCGTCAGAACTTTATTTACAAACAGAACAGAACTTAACAGAACAGGAGTTACGTACCCTTTGTGTACAGTAGCTCTTCTAAGTACGTAAAAACAATCATCGTATGTTGCAGCAATGTCCACACATGCATCGTTTTGGTTTCCTACTGTACTGAAGTACAGTAATCTACACTTCTAAAAAAAATTATTTTCAAGGAAAAACCTGAACATCAGCTATTGATTGCATCAGCTATCACATTGCCTTAAAATATCGTTACAATCAGCTCTGTGTACTTCTCCTTTGAATTGCAACTTCCCCACTTTGTCGCCAAGGAGACTAAATTCGTTAGCAACCTTCAACTCCCCTCTATGAATCAAAAAAGCAGAAATGTTTTGGACACTGTCCAGAACGTCCTTGAAACTTTTCAAAGTGGTTGTTTCGTTTAAGCGTTCGCCTTCACCTGGGGTATCTTTTTTTTTTCCATTTCATTCTCGTCGTCGCTCTCTATTTCCATGACATCGTGAGAAGTACCAATGGCCTCCAGCAGCAGTTGTTCAGTAAGAATACTGTAACAGGTTGGAAGTTCGTTATCGGACTCCAGGTAAGTACTGAAAAAAAAGGGGTAACCACAAGGCAACAGCAGAAATCTGTGGAAAACGGATCAATCGAGGATCTGGCTTGGGACTGGAACTTCCAGTTATTTATAAGATTTACGGCGGAAGGAATTCGAAATATTTGGACAGACTGGACGAACTTATTCATGGCAGCGAGAGTGCAAAGAGGGCCTTAAGAGAAAAAGATGAAGGAATTTTGATTGATGGACAGAAGAAGTGGAAATCGACCAAAAAAAGACAAAGACAGTCTCAAAAAGCAGAAAAAATAGACGTGATATGTGTGCAAATATTCCAAGATGCTGCTCGGTGTCCGCTATAACGAGAGAGAAAACAATAAAATTGTGACGTTGGGACCAAATAAAGTGTCCGTAAGTTCGTAGTAGCGAGAGTCCGTAATAGCGGGAGTTTATTTCAGTCAAACGTCTGTAACTTTCGCCGGGGATTTTGCTGCTGTCCGTAATAGCGGGGTGTCCGTAATAGCGAGGTGTCTGCAAGGCGGGAGTTGACTGTAGTCAGTTTTCCTTGAAGTACATGTGGTAAACCAGTTTGAGAGTTCCTCCCCAGCGACTCCTCGTCCTGTGGCCGGAAGAGTAGGGTGATGGTGGTGGTGGGGGGGGGGATGGGTGGGTTTGGGTTAGTCAACAAATTTTTCCGTGTACTATACATTGTACTCATGATCTGTCTCCTCACTGGCTAAGAGCCTACAGCTAATTTTGAAAATCAGTGCAACCTACAGATTAGTTAGTTATCTGCTAGTGAGTAACTGACTCATCTGTAGGTTACGTGCACAGTGCATGATTTTATATCAATAAATTATTGTCTTTATTCAGGTTCCTTTTGACTGTGTGTTTGTCATTATTTTCTTCAAAACAATGGATAATAAAAACATCATTAGATTCGCTTTTTGTGATATCCTAAATAATGAAGGTCTCGGTAAGTGTTATCAGCCTTGGCCTTGGGTTTGGCTGATAACACCCACCTCGACTTTACGGATATCACAAAAACCTCATTGTTTCATAGGTGGGGTGAATGGCAGAATGACGAACAGGAATGGCAGAATATGGAATATTCTAATATACGGAACGTGCTAAAACATGGAATTTACAGAATATTCTAAAACAAAACAGAACTAAAATGCAGAAAAAACTCGAACCATGTTTAAGCTCATGACAAGTAAAAAATATACTTAATCATTGTTTTGGAGGCCCTCTTGATGGGTGGGAAACTGCGTGAAAATAAAATTGTGCGGGAAAAATTGCAGACAAATGTCTTGATAATCTAATAATCGATAATTGACTGGATAAATTTAGGCACAGCTATGGCCCCGATTATTGTTAGTACAATCCTTTGCTGTGTAGCCTGTTCACAGACCTTCTATTTTCTCTTCAAAGTCCGTCGAGCGCAGGTGATAAAATATAAACTGCAGGGGATTTAGCTCGCCCGATGTTTTCAAAAAGAATGAAAAGAAAAATAAAACAATATCTGTGTACAGACTATTTGCTGTGAAACTTAAGTTTACAGTTACAGCTGTTTTTACGAAAATTATCCGACATTAGATTCCCATAAAAACACTGTAATTTATTATGCGGGTGCCTACCCATCAAGATGGCTTCCAAAACCATGATACGGTCAACAGTGTACGACAGTACAAAGACTGAATTTTAATTATTTAAAACAACCATGCCTGGTCATTACAAGAAAATAATGCCCACTTAGGAGCCAATCAGAGCATGTGTATTATTGAAGCCATAATAATAAGACATGCTATTGTTCTTCTTAATATGATGAACAGGTTGTTGGAGTGCAAGTCAATGCTGGAGCAAAGTTAACATTTGGAGGGACTGATGAAAACTCTGGGATGCTTCACATCTACTCAGCAGGGAAACTAGGGCCAGAAAAAAATAGTGAATATGCCAAAGCTTTTTCCGAACACCTGGAGAAGCATTTCAGAATTCCAAGTGGAAGGTAAAAAAATCTGGCTTTAAAAAAATCTTGCTTTGCAAACCTTTAGATATCTAAACATTTAACAATCAATGAGCTCTGAAGCTTGCTGAGTTGGACAGTGCAACCAAACTATTTTCTTAAGATAAAAGACAAAAATTTCCTAAAACAGTTGTTAAGATCTCAAATGAATTTTGTTCCACTTGTCAGTGGTCATGGACTGACAGCTGACTCTTTCTTTCTTCTTTCTTCTTTTTTGTTTCAATGAAAGCTCAGAAGTACATTGATTGCAGCTGCCATCTTGAAAAATTATTGCAAAACTGAGGGAGGAGGAGCAGGCAAGGGGGAGGAGGAAAAGAGGAAATTTTTTTTCACTCCTCCCCCGTCCCCTTCCTCTATTTTAACACATTAACCTCTCGGTGGCAGGAGAAGATTAGTATTATGGTTTGCACTGCAAAATACTCCTGCTTTGCAGGCTACCATCTTCTTTCTTCAAATTGTTTCCATAAAAGCAAGGGATCCCTTTTTTCCCTTCCTTGAACCCACACACCCTCAGGAACAATCTTTCTTTGACCTGGTAGAGTATTATTTTAATATTATGATTGTAAACAAGTTCCTGTTACATGATGGAAAGTCTATGGTTTTGTATTAACATGGCGCCACATAAGCTGATACAGCATGAGTGGACATTTGAAAATGATTCCACTTCTTTCTTGGTAAAGTGTCTTTATCATGATCAGGTTAGTGTGTGTCAATTTACTGGAATATTGATTTAACTACCAATATTGGTGTTGCTATTGAGGTTTTGGTTTGGTTGCTACTGTCATGCAGGGAGGTGGTCACTATTTTTAGAATTTACTGGTGGCCTCAACCTTTCTTCAGTCAATTTGTACTGGTAACAGAACTTCGTGTCCTCCAATTCGGTCTGTAATCATTGAGTGATTAACAAAATCGAACGACCGCATAGCGGGAGTCTGGTTTGTTTAATCACTAGTATGATTACAGACCAGATTGGACGACACGAAATCCTGTTACCAATTAATCATAACGTTAACAAAATTTGTGATATATGACTCTTTTTTGAATCATAACACAAGTCCAAGATATATATTTTTTGAAACTAGCAGTGAAAAAAGCTGTTTAAGCACGCCTGACAGTGCGTACTGTCCTATTAAGGCTGACATCAGGGCAGTTGATAGCCAATCAGATTTGAGAATTTTGTTATAGTTATGATTAGGGTAATAATTGTTGTTTTGGGGGTACCCTAACCTCCTTTGCTGGAGACTCAATCTCATGCAATAAATCTTAAAATGACAATTATTACATTTAGAATCCTGATTTCTTGGACCCTTTCTCACGATTCAAGTAAAATCCAACTTCCCTTTATCAGTCAAACATTGTCATATATTTTGACCCATTCAGTGGTGGATCCAGACCTTGGGGGGGGGGGGGGGGGGGGGGGTGGGGGGGGGGGGGGTGGGGGGGGGGGCCGGTCATTCAGACCCTGAGATAAGGGGGGCCCAGTCTCCAAAAAAATTTTTCAAGCCCTCCGGGCCTCAGTTTGACTAAACCGAAGTGGGGGTTTGGGCTCCCTGAGCCCCTCCCATGGATCCGCCACTGCCACTGTAATTTGAACCAATTTGCTTTTCTCATTTAGTTCAAAAAATTGTGATTCTGCTGAAAAAACTAGGTTGCAAAAACCTCAGCCCTTATCAGCTGATTGTATCTGTTTTAATAAATGTTGGTAATTTTTTGCAGGTTGTTTATCTTTTTCCATGACATTGCAAGAAGTGACTTGGCTTGGAACAGCAAAACCTTGGCTGGAAAGTGACAGCATCGACAGTACTGTATCACAGAGACTGGCAGATTGATAGATTTTAGATCTCTGATGTGATGTAAAACATAACAGAAAAGAAAGGAGTCCCTTTCATAAAATTGATGACAGTCATTATGAAATGATCCTATTAGTGTCTAAGAACACTATGATGATAATGGTATTTATAAAAAAAAGTGAATCTTTAATTCTGATGATCACTCAAATAAAAAACATTGAGGAAATAAAACTAGTTACATGATGAAAGGACTTTCAGTGTTTTTATTTCACTACCTTTTGCTTGGCCAATATAATTCACAAATAGCTACAGTCGAACCTCCACTAGTGACCACAGCCACCTCTTTACCGACTATTTTTTTGTCATGGGTGATAGTCCATAAATTGACTATTGTTTAAACCTCTTTAAAATGGCCACCTCACTACAATGGCAACAGCCACAAAAGCGTGTCCCCAACTGCCAAAATAATCTCTCAACAACAGCCAATTTTTTCAGTGAATGACGAAAAAGTAAAGAATGGTTGTGAACTTTGATCTTTCTTTTGTTGTTGTTCAATTCATGAAAATGCAGTACTTTTTTGTAACAACCTGTTTTAGAACATACTTCCGAGCATGTTCCTTAAGCTCAAGAGACAGTTAAGAACATTTTTTTACTGCTCGTTTGTTTTTAGCTTGAACCTTTGAAATCCAGGGTGCCCCCAGCATAGGATTTCTATGAAAAAGCCAAGATTTCCTAGTCACCCTAGAGCAAAGTTTCTGGGAAACTGCCCACCAACCCCTAGGCCAACATTAACACTTTCTCACTTATGGCAAAATGTTGGCTTAGTGAAGGGGTAGATGGGCAGTTTCCGAGAAATGTATAATGTCTGATAAAACACAATGCCCCGGTGTTACGTTTATGCACAAGATTTCCACCCAGGTGGTTTGTTTAAGTGGTAACCACCCCTGGACTCCCAACACTGTCAGGCAGTTATGGGCAACTGAGTCGTGAATTTGTTAAAGGAAACATTCCACTGCTGAAGCAATAGTTTGGGTTTTGTCACATCTCCTGGGAAATACAATGGCTTTGTTGTAAACACAAGAAATTTATCACCACCTCAATAAGAGATCTCACTCGTTTATTTCACATCAAATTTCCTTAGCACGTAATTTCCTTTCTGATCGATGAAATACAAAGCACTTTCTTACAGCACCATAACGAGACAGTATCCAGGTTAGACCAAATCAGTGATCCACTAGTGTTTATGGCTAACATGAAAGAGACTCTCTATGGGTAACTCCAATAAAATCGCCGCATGAGTTTAGTCACGCAATGATGGCAAAGAAATCCGCCAAAAAGTGTGCTGCACTTTCAAAATTTTTATCCATAACTTAATTAAACCTGTTGCTTTAATTTTATTGTTTCTGTTATTGTCGAGGTTTGCTTGACCTGCGACGATTTCATTGAAAAAACCAATGATTTGACGGAAACTGAGCATTGAAAATGACATCCATAAATACCCATAGAGAGGCTCACAAAATGACCTTATTTTAACTTATTATTCTAATCTACACCATACTGTTCCATCAGTTTTACATCATGGCGATTTTGCATACACCTCTTAAGCAACCACTTTTGGGTTTTGCTCTAATACTGATGGTTGGCAACAAACAGACTTTCCCCGCCAGCCAAGCTGGCTCCTCCCTTGTACTCTCCTTTAGATGCAGCACCATTAGCAGCAGCACGCTTGAGAAATTCTGCTTGACCAGCTTTCACTTGATCTGCCTTGCCGCCCCAAGCCTTCAGTGCACTTGCTTGAAGAGCACGGCCAAATGAGAAGGTCAACTTCCATGGCTTCTTGCCTAAAGAACAAACATACACTCTCAGATTTCATGCCTTACCCTGGTTTTTATTATTATATGCCTCCCCCAGAGACAGATTTTAACTTCTGGTTAAGTCTGTTTATGGAACAGCCCTATAATCCTTGTTCTGGGTACCAGCCTGGGCAAAAAGATTTGATTATGTGCCATGACTGGCCTGTCAAAAAGCCATTGTCGATTTGCCAATCAGGTTGAAGGGCAATTCAAAATACATTTCTGGTAATTCGTTAAGTCCACTGTGAGCCCAGAACAGGGTTATTGGTGGTGCTTTGCAGATGTTACTATAAACCAAGGATAGCTTATATCTGAAAGCCAGTGTTGGAATTTCCCAACATACGAAAGAGGGGCTTTTCTTATTATCCTCAAAAAGCACTGTTTCCTTTTGACTTCTTAACTTTTTAGGGTGTTCATAAGGCATTGGAGATTGTAGAAGTCTCCATCTACTATGTTGAATTCTCCAGCTTACGTTAGGTAGCCTATGACTATTTTTTATTCAGATGTGGAGCCTCTTTCAAAATATTCCCCTGTAACGTCACATTTTTCAACTGCTACTAGAATTCTTAATGAAAATTCAGCCTTTTAGCCATCCTGACAAGAGTTCTTCCTGTTGTTGTAACCTCTATTAACCCAGCTTTAGTTTGAAATTTGGCCCATTTTTATTGTCAAAACTCTAATTTTTTTGAGGCATCTTCGCCCGCCTTTAATCACTGACAAAGATTATTTCAACATTACAATGATTAAAGCGAATTTTGATGGTATGTACTTCATTTAAGATGTCATACATTCTTTTGTCATAATAGGCCATTTGCACTATTAGATCATTTTACTACTACCATAATCCTTCAGGGTTTTGCTTTCTTGTGCAAATTAGGGCTTTTGTTCTTTAAACCTCACCGGGATTACAAAATTTAAATATGAAAGGAAAAACGGAAAGGATTCTGGTCGTAGTAGCAGAATGACGCCATCATGTAAATGGCCTCTTTGGGGGCTGGCTCGATTTGTGAGGGAAGGGGGGTTTGGTGACAATCAGGGGGAGTGGGGTAGTGCAAAAGAGAGAGTCTCTAGATTTTAGATCTCCAGAGGTTTTAATCCCTGCCAAAGGAGTGGCTGCTTAAGGACGGTGCCCACTAATGGGAAGTATTTTTTCCCAGATAATGACTATGTGAGACAAGTAGATCATATCAGGGGCTATTAAAATCCAAAAAGAAAACTGGGGGTAACCACGCATTTTTCAGAGATAACTGCGCCTCAATATGGAGAAAGACGCTGAATAGGCGTTTTTTAAAAAAATGATAAAAAGTTATTTTTTTCCAAAATTTCAGAGTGTACACGTGAACTGGCACAAATGCAACGATAATTGTAACAAGGTTTCAAAATAGGCAACAAATGATAACATAACAACTGCTCTTTAAACGTCTTTTTTTGAAATATCAGCACAACTGGGAACTTATCAGCAGTTACCCCTCTCCACGCGTTTGCCTCAAAAATAGTGTAAACGACATTTTCCCCGAACCAAAAATTGATCGTTTGCTGAGTAGGCTTATTACTTTCATTTGGTAAGATAAAAAGTAGGGGTTACCACGCGTTTTTAGAAGTTAAATTGGTTGGTTTCGACCTTAACTTAATCGCTTTGGGGGTTATTTACAATTTTCCCCATCCCCTCCCCGGTCAGTTTCACTATTGCTTCACTCAACGCGAAGTACTCTGGGATATCCACAATGGCTAACAGTCAGAGAAAACAACAACACACGGAGGAGAGCAAAAACAGAAAGTGAAGCAGGACATTTCATGGACTCTAAGGAAAACAAATTATACTATTTCATTCAACTGGAGCTTCTCCGTCTCAAACATTTAACAAAAATGTTTGGAGAAGAGCAATCTCCAAGGTATTAGAGATTACTTGCAGCGCACATAGAGTAGTATGGCGAGCTCAAGATCCACGGCTGGTGCTGTAAACAAACTGCTATACTGTAGTGGAAAATAGTCGACAGGGACTCTAAGACAGGTAATCCTTCAATCGTTTGCTTACCTGTACATCTCCTCAAGATTTTTTGACTGTAGATGCAATATGGATTGTAAACCTTCTATCGTTCTTTTATCATTTTACCGGGTACCTCGATCGAATATGTTATTAAACTTGCACACATTCAATGAGCTTATATCTGTGCTTTGCGCTATCTCTTTCGGGCTTTGCGACAAATGTCATATGACATAAATGATTTGCATAGACTAAAGTTCCATACATGTGCTCTCTTTTAAAAAAGCTGCATAGTGTGAAAGTAGTTGTGCCGAATGCGTTTATGTACCCTGATCATATATGCACTGGGCTATAATGATCATTTTATATATTTCGTTTTGATTTTTTTTACTCTAGCATTCTGTGTTATGATCATTCACTATTTTTCGTTTATAAATGTTAATTTTAGACTTAACAGTGTCTGTTAAACCTAAGAAAGTCTTAGAATGGAAATACTTCAGTTTATTTTACCTTCCATCTTTAGTTTGTAAACAGCGAAATGGCAGCTATGTCTAAATGTCCAGATTACGTGTGGCGTGAAATTGAACCTTAAGAAATACTATCTACACGACAAGCTGTCAGTGTGTCAATAATTTCAAGGCTTAGTAATGCCAAAATGCTTAAATAACAATGATAATAGTAAAAAGCATAACAACTTTTTATCATTTTTTCCACGATGAAAGCGTTTCCTTTGCGGTCCGCAACTATTTGTGAAGCTGTGATCTCATGAATTCAAACAATCTTGTGATAGTTTTTTTCTTGTTTGTTCAACAAATAAAAGCCTCGGACTCTCAATAAAAGGGACATCTGTATGTACTCGAACACTGTAAGTCTATCTTCTGGTGAATAATTACATAAAATCTTACAAAATTAAAGAAATATTCGGGAAAGTGTTTATAGCCGATTACTCGATAAAAAGCGAAGGACGCGAGTTAAAGGTAAGCTTGCAGTTTCTCGATTAAGCGGAGGCCTTAGAGCTATTTTCCTTCTGATTTACTGATCCTTGCCTATTAAGGGATTTGTTAATACCCAAACCCTAAGCGTAACATCTCGAAACAATAACTTTTGATGTTTTAGAATTGACTTTTGTTTGACTATAAAAATGTTCCGTGAGATAGATCATACGTAGAAATAGTATCATGCACATACTTCTTCGGTTTCCAAAGAACTGACAAGGTAGATAGAAATTATTTTTCATCTGTTGAAAACGACGTATCTTTTCCACAAGAAATAACCCGAACCTCCCAGACTTACAGGAGACAAAATCAGTCCTCGTGTCCTGCGTGTTTCCCATTTCTGTCGCGTTGCGCGCGACTACCTTGGTATGCGCAGAAAATGTGCGCAGTAACAATAGTGGGCACCGTCCTTAATGGAGCTTTAACTGTATTTTAAACGGTCAAACTAATCACCTGGGTATTGGTTGATGGCATTAAGGTTCACTGATGCCTCTTCTTCTGACTGTCCTCCAGACAGAAACACAACACCAGGCACTGCAACAGGTATGGTTCTCTGGAAAGCTGTGACAGTGGCCATGGCATTTTGCTCTGGTGTGTTCTTGGTTGGGCAACTCTGGCCTAAATAGGAAAGAAGATGAATTTATGGTTTATGATAACAACATTATTGAGCACAAGTGGGGGCTATCAAAATAAAGAGTATTGCCATACAAAGGTTTAATTCCAGCCTCCTCAGGTGCTTTGTTTTTTGCATAGAGGCAAGCATGAAATGTGAGTGACACTTGAGTGACTGGTGATTAAGTGTAAGGCCCTGCACAAGGGATCGTGGGAAGGAGAAAAACGAGAGGTGAAGACATCTCAACCATCTTCTCCTTCCTGCCTTCCTTAATTGCCACAGAGACATCTGGGCACGAGGCAGGGTTGAATATGATAGAGGATCACAAGTTTTCACAAGTGCAGGCCTAACCAGTTTCGCATAGTTATGCAAGATGGCCAAACTGATGGTTTCCAAAGCAAATAGGCTGTAATTATGGTGAGTCTTTGATAAGGACCATTTGGGCCCAAAACTTAGCACGTTTTCCCCCTAGAGAACCGACAATTAGATCTAATTTCCTCCTTCACCCCCCCCCCCCCCCCCCCTTCAGCTCTCAGCGCCCTCAACCAGCTCTAAAAATTCTATAAAACTTTCCATTCTAGCCAGGCAATATAGGGGGGATAACACACCGGAAGAGCGCCTCGGATTTTTCACTGAGGCTGGCGTACAAACAAAAACAGAAAGACCTTTCTCATTAGTTGTCTAATGTGTGCAAACGGTGTTGTCCAAAGGTGCTAAGGTTTTATCATGGGTGTTGTTTTTTTCAGGCCAGTTGTGGCGAAAAAGTTGCACGTTTGCCCCCACATGAACCCTCCATTATAGTTATTTTTCCCCCCCCCCCCCCCCCCCCCGACGCATGTTCCTGGACTGTCCGCAAGGCGCCGGAGTTTACTGTAGAACCCATCTTTATCGCTACAAAGTTATAGGTATCGTAGCCTGCTCGCAGGCTATTTATGACGTAGTTGTTCAAAAGATGGATAGCGCTATCCACCGTATAAATCCCCTTCCAATGGATAGTGCAATAATACTTAACCACTAGATATAGACATTTATCTGATGGACAGCTCTATCCAGCTTTTGAACAATTGCTGCCTGAAAAGAACTTTTTGCAACAGTTATTGATGTTTTGACAAATTCTGTCCCTTAGTCTTGATCATTGATTGGCAACTTATTAGAACAAAGGTGCTGCCACATACAGAGACCACATCCATAATGATGCAGTCAGAGGCAGAATCAGGCAAACCATAGGGCCCTACAACGATATTTTAACCATGGTAAAGAAACAAGTTAAAGTGGTTTGGGCATGTTTCAAGATCAGCAGGGCTTGCCGAGAAACTCTACAAGGAACAGTGTAAGGAGGGAGAAGAGGGGGCCAACAAAAGAAGCATTGGGAGGTATTATTATTATACCTCTGAGTGGACAAGGTTCAAGTTTTGCGATGCCCTAAGAGAAGTTGAAGACAAACTAAAAGCTGCAAGGTGCAAGGTGCTGCCACAGACTTACATGTAGTGAAATAGTCAAATAAAAGTCTAGGAGTTCACCAGCTGTAACCGAAGTTGTGATAATGACCGCTCACCATCTGTATTTCATCTTTTAATGCTGATTTGTACAACAAATCAAGGCAAGATGTAACAAAAGGCTTTTATCAGAAATTTTTTTAGAAGAAGGAAAATTTGGCATACACATACTGGCAAGCCACTGTGTCCAAGGGTCTGTTTCATGAAAGTTCTGATTAACTAACAGGCCTGGAAAGCTGTTGTTATTTACATTCAAGATAGAGGATTCAATAGTTTGGCAGATAACATGATAAATCTATTACAGCCTACTTCAAATGTCAAACTTTTCGTTTACTTAACCTAATCCCATTAAATAAGAACATGAAAAGATCAACCAATGAATCAATTAAGTCTGACACATCTAATTTGGGTGGCACTTTGAATTAACTTCGAGTAGCCCACATGGGAACATTGACTTTGGAGTGACTTGCTTTCAAATGTGCTGAAATACATAAATATACTTTAATTTACTTTGACTTTTTAGCAATGTAGACCAGTTTACGTTGCAAAAAGGAATTTAGTCCAAATCATTAAGTTCGACATCTGAATCAACTATTCAACTTACATCATTTGAGTCGACCCAAATAAGTAATAAAGTTTGATACATGAAAAGTTTGATGTTTGAACTAGGCCTCAGTAAACAAAATCAAAAATATTATGAGCTGGTTTTATAGCTAGGAACTATATATATATATTTTTATAGATTTTGATTTGAATATTTGATCTTGAACCTGAAAAGTTACCAGGACTTTCAAGAAACAAGCTTCTGCTATCTTATTATTTCATGAAATAATGTACAATGCTGTATGATTATTCATCAAAATGTTGTCTCAGTGTAAAGTTTATTATGCATCAAAACCACAAATGCTGAGGACTGGGTCAAATTGAATTTAGATATAATCTTGCATCAATTCTTTGAGGGGGTGCCCTGTGGGAACCTTCACTATCAGATTATGCAATCCCTGATTATGCAATATAGAGCCAATTATCTTTTAGTCTAAACAATTCAGGCATTTAAATCACAGTTATTCCGTTGATATTCATTTTGACAAGATTTCACAAATTATGCTGGTAACATTGAAGGATTCATATGAAGACTTTACTGAAAAATTTCCAATTGTTGATAATTTTTTTAGCTAATTGTCCGGTCTAGATCATTTCCAAATGACCAGTTATTAGTTTGTTTTGAACATGACGTCTGTACATTAATTTACAAGTCATGAATAACAAATTCAGTCCTGAAATTGTGAATCCAAAAGAAAAACCGCAAAGTAACAAATTTTATCATCAACGCGGGATGTTAGGAGAACACGAGAAAAGCTTGTAAATCACGAGCCGAAGGCTCGTGATTTACAAGCTTTTCGAGTGTTCTCCCAACGTCCCAAGTGGGTTATCACGCCGGTAAACCCATAGAAAGTGTGGTCTATTGCTTTTATAATATAACTTTAATTTTTCTACGAGTTTCCATAAGTTTTTAACCTATCAGAACGCGCGTACTATCTTAGTTATTTTATAAAAGTAAATAGAAATGTACAAGAAGCCATAACAGAAATATACAAAGTAACTTGCAAGGGGCCGTTTGCAACAAATTGCACAAAATAACTCAGAAGAAATTTGGGGCTAAATACTGCAAAGTCATGTAGGAAATGAAGCAATGACGGGACCAATATCCAGACACAAACGAATACGGATACTGATAGTACTAATATGACCATTTCTCAACTTACAGAAAACAAACATTTCACCTACCAGCTGTGACCATGTTAGGCTTGAGCAAAGTTCCTTCAAGGTAGACATGATGATCTACCAAAGCCTTATACTGAGCAGAAAGCACGGCTTCCGTGACCTGCTGACAGCGTTCCAGAGAATGATCACCATCGCACAAAATTTCAGGCTCTACAATGGGTACAAGGCCATTTTGTTGACAAATGGTTGCATAGCGAGCCAGGACGTTCGCGTTTTCAAATATGGCCAGTTGCGAGGGCGTGTGTTCGGAGATTTTTAACACACAACGCCACTTGGCGAAGTCACAACCATCTTTTTTGTACTGTGCACATCTCTCAGCGAGCCCGTCAAGTCCTTGCGTGGTTCCCTCTCCAATTGTTCCTGCAAGAGGAACAACACCTTTGTCGACTTTGATGCCCGGAATGATCCCATGGTCGCGGAGAATTTTCACAAACGGAGTTCCGTCATCTGCTTTCTGGTAAACAGTTTCATGGAAGAGGATCACACCGCTGATATTCTTCGCCATTTCTGCGCCAGATGTGAACAGAAGCTGTCGGTACAAGCGCCGGTTTTCTTCTATATTTTCGACTCCGATGCCTGCAAGTCTCTTTCCCATGGTTCCTGTGCTTTCATCCGCAGCGAGGATTCCTTTACCGGGAGCGACAATGGCTTCGGCAATCCTCTTCAGCTCTGCCTTCAATTCTGGTGTTAAAGGAGCGTCCATGGCGATCAACAGAACTCTTTTGACCCTCGGAAACTGGTAGTAAACTTCGTTCGATGGCTGCAACTTCGAGATGAGGACGAAGGTCGCTGATCTGCAAGCTGTACCTTCCTTAGAAGAGTCCTTATTGGCTAGTTCTGATAAGCATGTCTTACATTTGGCCAATCAGAACACATTTTAGAACGTGGTCTGTAAAATGCATTCGGACGTGACAACTGACTCATAATTTATCGAAATTTGTGTAGACGTGTCATTTGGAAGTAACTTAGCCTAAAATGGAAAGGAATCTGTTAAGTTTTTTTACTTTTTGTTCAGCAATTTTTCTGGTACAACTCTTACCATTAAAAATAGCGTCAAATGCGACTTCCTTTTACGGCAAAATGTGGGTATGGAGAAGGCGTGGTGTAGGGATGGGCAATTGGAAGGGATGAACTGGGAACCATAATTTTCCCCCAGACTTTCCCGCGCGTTTGGCAGCGGGTGTGTTTTTTCCCGCGCTCTTTTTATAATACCACCTGACCACCAGCACATCGGAAAAGCTCCCTGCAAGACTGTCTCGTTTCACATTTTAGACTTAAATTTTTCCTCATTTCTTGATGTGTAAAGGCAATGAACGAGATCCAGAGAAACTCAATATGTTGAGGTAAGTTGTAAAGCTATGCGCGAGTAATCGGAAGTCAATGTTTTAAACTTGGAAACAATTTAAAATTGAACAGAGTTCTGTTCTTCAGAGAAAGCTTCCAAGGCTATGAATCAACACTATAAAAAAGCTTCCCGAATTTCACAGGCAAAACACACACTTCTATCCCATAAGCACCACCTATATTTTTGCCATGTCCACGTTTTTTCTAACAGATACATTTATCCTTGTATTAACCTATTTGGTGTTGAAAGCTCACTCACCCCTTCAAAATTATAAAACCCCCCTTGGATATTACTTTCCCTTATTTTTCTCCTATAGCTAAGCCTCTCAAAAAGGCCTTTGAAATAAATATAAGACCCAGGGCTTTTTTTTTTTAAATATTTTAAAAGTATTAATTTTCACTGTTTTGATTTGATTGGTCAATGGCCAATCAGCAAAATTATGGTAAAGCCATAATTATCTGTAGAAGGGCTTCAACTTTGTATGGCAAAATCAGTTATGAGGATAATTTCTTTGTCCATTTCACACAAATGTCCAGTGCTGGCCACAAGATCCCTACTTTCCTTTTTCATCCTTAGTTCCACACTTCTCAAAGGTGTGGAAGTGTGGAAAAGTCTGACAAAGTAAGGATATTGTCGCACTTTTCTCACAGGCACTAATCCCTTGTAATTCTTTACTTAGTTCCACACTTCTCAGAGGTCTGGAAGTTTGGAAAAGTCTGACAAAGTCAGGATAATATCACACTTTTCGGCCAGTCATGAACCTTTTGTCATTCTTTACTTAGTTCCACACTTCTCAGAGGTGTGGAAGTGTGGAAAAGTCCGACAAAGTAAGGATATTGTCGCACTTTTCCCCCAGTCATGAACCCTTTGTCATTCTTTACTTAGTTCCACACTTCTCAGAGGTCTGGAAGTGTGGAAAAGTCTGACAAAGTAAGGATAATGTGACACTTTTCCCCAGTCATGAACCCTTTGTCATTCTTTACTTAGTTCCACACTTCTCAGAGGTCTGGAAGTGTGGAAAAGTCTGACAAAGTAAGGATAATGTGACACTTTTCCCCAGTCATGAACCCTTTGTCATTCTTTACTTAGTTCCACACTTCTCAGAGGTCTGGAAGTGTGGAAAAGTCTGACAAAGTAAGGATAATGTGACACTTTTCCCCAGTCATGAACCCTTTGTCATTCTTTACTTAGTTCCACACTTCTCAGAGGTCTGGAAGTGTGGAAAAGTC